TGATACTATTTTTAATAGTTTGATAACACTTTATAATAACTTTCATTAATAAATCATTAACACACATTATATACTTCTTAACAGATTATTAGTTAATATATATTCAAATAGCTAGAAATGTTTACTAATTAACTTATTATTAATTATTAATTAACTAATTATTAACATTACCTAATAATTAACAGATCATTATTTCATGTACATTAAAATGCTTACAGATGTCATTGGTAACACTTTATTTTAAGGACCATTTCTCACTATTAACTCGTTGCTTATTAGCATGCATATTACTGGCATATTGGCTGTCAATTAGTACTTATAAAGAACATATTAATGCCTTATTCTGCATGATCATATTTTAGATCCCTAAATCCTACCCCATACCTAAACTTAACAACTAGCTTACTAACCATTAATAAGCAGCAAATTTTGAGTTTATTGAGGGAAAACTCTTAATTAATAGTGAATATGTGCTCCCTATATTCTAAAGTGTTACCATGTCATTAAACTTTCAATTTATGTAATCATGCACTTCTTGAAAATCTACAAATGATTTTAGCAGATGTTATACAGTGACTAAAAGCTTTTGTTAATTCACAACACTTTTGCTGCTATTGAGGTGTGATACGGGTAAGGTTAGGGACAGGTTTGGAGGTATGGGTTGGTTTAAGGGTTGGTTAAGGGGTCAGAAGTGTACACGGTTCAGTTTGATGACTATAAAGAAAAAACTGTTCAATCTGTTTATGTTACATTGTTTTGAAAAAAAATTATATATTTTCTTGAAAAGTAGATGTTTTCTCCTGTTTATGTATGATTCAAGGAATATCCTGTTTAATGATATACAGTAGTGTACTAACATAAGTGTTAAGGCAATAAAAACATGTTTTGCACCCAAATTACAATGTGCGTGATGTCTAGCAAGCATTTAGCTAAACTTAACTAACCACCCTGTTAACACTAAAGTTCCATTAGTTAATGTTAATGTATTAACTAACATGAACAAACAATGAACAATACATTTATTACAGTATTTATTCGTCTTAGTTAATGTTAGTTAATGAAAATACAGTCGTTCATTGTTAGTTCGTGTTAATTCACAGTGCATTAACTAATGTTAACAAGCACCACTTTTGATTTTAATAATGCATTAGTAAATGTTGAATTTGACATTAACTAAGATTAATAAATGCTGTAGAAGTATTGTTCATGCTTAGTTCACATTAACTAAAGTAGTTAACTAATGTTAACTATAATGAACCTTATTGTAAATTTGTACCAAAATAAAAATAATAACAAAAAACAACAAAATTACTAAAACTTAAAATAAAAACTGAAAATATATATTAAACAATCTAATTCAAAACATTAACAAAAACTACAATAGTATATCATTGACACTGACATAAAAATAACACTGATATAAACACTATATTGTAACTTGAAGCTTTTAATATTATAACTTCGAGCACAATTCACAATGCACAGCAATGATGCGGCCTACCTTTTGGATCAGCCATCATGTTGTGAGCACACATATGATACACACCAACCTAAATTGAGGTCCCATTGGGTACAAAAGCTTATAAATCATACAGAATGAGTTTTTTTTTTTTTTTGAGATTGTAAAAATGCAGAAAGTTTTCTGTGAGGGGTAGGTTTAAGTGTAGGGTTGGTGTAGGGCAATAGAAAATACAGTTTGTACAGTATAAAAACCATTACGCCTATGGG